AATTCATATATGGCTATAATACACTAAAATGTCCTTATTGTATTTTGAAACTTCCTGAAATCTGAAAGTTTAGTCTTCTGGGATTACTTAGAAAGGCTATAAATATCATTTGTTTACCCAAATCAAGCTCTGATCTGAGGCAGTCCTTGGTTTCCAGTCAGGCTTTTATACCCTATTTTTTTCAAAGGCAGCTGAACTGCTGGCAGACAGAGAACAAGGGAATAGCCTGAGGTGAACAGTGCCCAACAGGACTCAACTCACCACTATCCTTGCTCCTGGCTACAGATGTCAGTGAAGTCATAGTACAGCACAAAACTGCAAAATAGAATTTGTTATCAGTATTTATACAGTGAAGAAACTTTAGCAGATTTTAGCTAACAAGTCACATTTCAGAGACTGATAAGCACTTACCTTTATTTCAATTGGACAAACCAAAAGTCAGAGCCAAGTTCTTCCTTCCTCGACTGTGCTTAAACAAGATACTACCAACAGATGCAAGTCAATTTTTGAAAGAGGGTTTTACTCCAAACAGGACAGTTGAAGAGGCCAAGTTCTGTATCTGTTGTCTTAAAAAAACCCACAATAATTATTGATGTTGATAATGCATTTTTCAAGAACTCTCTCTCATTCACTAGCCTTGTCTACACCTGGAGGAAGAGCAGGTGACATCCCAGCCACTCACTCTTACCTCCTTGTCTGGTAAATACAACAGCAGTTCTCTCCCAGCAGCAGACAACATCCTTCTCCACTGAATCTCTCAGACAGCCTCTTGCCCCTTTATCTAATTCACACCTGCATTTTTAAGGGCTTGCTGTGTGTTAGAGCTTGCCTGCATTGTTATCATCTTTGCACTCTGTAGCCTTCTCTGCTCTCCTTGACGCTCCTCTTTGCAGCTGGAACCATAACCTCTGGCATTGTTCCCTACCCTTATTTTGTTCAAATCCATCCTTGTCAAATGTCTAGGATACTAAGCTGGTCAGTTCTAATCAGACAAACACGTACCATATTATTGTCAGTGGAAAGAAAAACTGTTGCTAACCCAAGCCATGAGCTGGAACATGCATCCATATACCCTCTACTATATACCTGTCCTGTGATTTATTCTTTCTGAGCTGCCATCTGATCCACCGTCCACATCCAGGCTTGAAATCCCTGCTACGTCTTGCACACCACATAAGAGGAAAATATGGGCCACAAGGGAGCTATCAAGCTGTGAGACAGCATTCCCATCCCAGCTGGGACAGCAAAGCAGCAAAAGTGATGCTGTACTGCTGAACTTCGTTTTGTACAGAGGAAGAACACTGAGGATGCAATGAAACGTGAACAAAAATAACGCCCCTGTTGTGCACCTGTGAAGAGCTACTGGCAATGGAAACGACATGTATTTTAACAGACACTACTTATTTGCAAGAAGTGGAAAGATGAAAATCAGGTGAGCAATAGTCCTGCCCTGTTGCTCCTCCTGTCAAAAGGAGTTTTCTTCAAAGAGGCCACTGGATACTAAAGTGCTCTGCTCCATCTCCCGTCTCTGGCTCACTGCATCTATTTTATCTTCTAGTATGAGAAAAAAAAAAAATAAAGTGAGATTTGATGACACTCAAGAGGTAGAGATTTAAAAACTGAAGAAAATATTGCATTTTGACATGCTGTAGGAATTTAAGTTTGATATTTTAGCATGATTAAAAACCCCAAACAACAAAGATTGGGTATTTTGAGAAGGTACTCAAAAACATACTGACCTGTTGTAATGATGATACACATTTTGGAATGAGCAAAGACTTAAATGCTACGTTACAGCCTACTGCCATTGTTAGCTACCAGTCAGAGCAGGTCATCCATCATAACCTTAGAATCATAGCAACATTTCAGTTGGAAAAGACCCTTCAGATTAAGTCCAACCATTAATCCAACACTACTAAGTCCAGCACTAAACCATGAACCACTAAGAACCTCATCTACACATCTTTCAAATACCTCCAGGGATGGGGACTCCACCACCTTCCTGGGAAGCCTGTTCCAATGCCTGATAACCCTTTCAGTGAAAAAGTTTCCCCTAATATTTAATGTAAATGTGCCCTGGCACAAGTTGAGGCCATTTCCTCCTGTCCTACCACTTGTTATGTGAGAGAAGAATTTAACCCCCACCTTGCTACAGCCTCCTTTCAGGTAGTTTTAGAGAGGGAGATGGTCTCCCCTGAGTTTCCTTTTCTCCAGGCTACCCCACCACAGCTCCATCAGCAATTCCTTGCAACACTGGTGCTCTAAGCCCTTCAGCAGCCTCATTGCCCTTCTTTGGGCATGCTCCAGAACTTCAATGTCCTTCTTGTACTGAAGTGCCCAAAACTGAACGCAGTATATTCAGGGTGCAGCCTCACCAGTGCTAATTACAGGGGTGTAATTGCTTCCCGAGTCCTGCTGGCCACATTATTTCTGATACTCAGATATGCAGATCTCCTCCATCTCTAGACTAAACTGCATCGCCTCATGCATAATCCAATCCCAGCACGTGGCTTAAGGTGTGCACCGAGTTGGCCCCAGTGAGAAAAAGCCCCAAAACTGCCTGCCTGTGAGTAGAGCAGAGACGTGCCTTAAGTTTCAGAAGTTCAAAGAAAAACGATAACACAACGGAATTTCATGCTGAATTTTTATTTCAATGTTACGCAACTGCATAAGTATAAATAATCATGTTCAATATACAACAATTATGACATCCATAAGGAGCTTCTTAGAGAAAATAAGACTGCAAACACCTTATTGCACAGACCCTAACATTTTTCTTTTTTTTGAATTTTCTTTTTATTTTTTTTGTAAGCTGAGGAATCTACAGCAACACGCCTACAAAAGAACACATCAGATCTACAATCACATAGACTTACCAAGTAGAACACAGGCAGAAGGATCTCTAACAGATCACTGATAAGGTAAACACCAACAAACAGGTACTACATAAACACAACCTTAAGTACTGTTACACTTTCCAAATGCAAAGAACTTATTTGTCAGAAGTGATAATGAACTATACAAAATATAGATAAAACTATAACAAGTAGCTAGATGTGCTTTAAAGGAAACAAGAGGACAGCTGAAAAACGCAGAAGACTGTAAACTAGGAAATGCTTCCTAGACAGAAATGTTACTTCAAAGTGCATTAGCATTCATTTGTAGTAACTGCCAAAGCACAGATGAACTGTAAATGACCATTCTATCTTTAAAACTGCTCAGAAATATTATCCACTGCTCACTACCTCCTCTGTGAATGCATCAAAGGCAGTATGAATGTTGTAGTGCCATATTAAAAATCACTTGTTTGAGATATTATCTTTCTGTAACAGTTTGCTGTAATCCAAATCAACTAATCAGTATAATGAACGTTTTCACCAGAGGGAAATGACTTCTGCACGCTGTCAGTTGTCACACAAACTTCCAAGTCAGGATTATACTGTGCTTTTATGAACAATTTTCTAGCTTTTGAGACAGAAAGACAATCTATAAGCCCAGGGCCTAGCTCTACAGGTGAGTACATGTAACAGAAATAAGCAAAACCGCCACGCTGTTGATCCCAATTACTAAAAAACACACACCTGCAAGGGTATTTTGTAGTGCTTCTGTACATGTTTCGAGTCCTACCTTCCGTCCTTCAAAACAAACTAAATACCTCCACGCTAAAATGATCAAGGTCTACATGTTCCACAGTATACAAAATTTAAATAAGGCTTAGCAAAAGTAAAAAGACAGTCACATTCTAGCACCAAATAGCTCCAACAGCTTCCTTTGTTACAAAACGCGTCTTTTATAATTACAGTATTTACTTTTTTTTGCATACAAATAAAAAGATTATGTTTTGAAATGTATGGAGCTACTCAATGCATTTAGAAGTCAGTCTGATACCCAGAATAACTTGCTAAAAACAGCAAGTTTAGTCTACAACATAAGGCCCCAGCTATGTATTAAAATGTATCGATGTCCTGAACTTTTCCCGTTTCATGAAAAGTAAGGTAAAAAAGGAAAAAAAGCTATGGCTGTATTATGCTAATATACACAGACCAATATGCCATGACAATACCTGTTCTCTAAATGTAATACAAAACAGAGATGAAAATACTAGTACGGCAAATCATGTGCTTATACTTGTGCCTCACACTGCAAGGGCTTGAATTTAAAAAAAGCTCAAGAACTCAAGAGAAGACTGCAGCAATAACTAAGCACAGAGGGTGTGTTTCAGAGTCTCAGCTTTGTCTGAAGGTCACAGAACACATTCCCAAAAGACGAGAACCATCATTTCACCAGAGAACACAACTCTTGCTGGAACATCCTGATACCTGGATAGTCCTCCTATAGCTTCAACAACATCTACTCTAAGAGACAGGCTTTGTGCAGTAGGGAGATGCAGTCAGGTCTTGTATTAGATCTGGTGAAGCAGTCAGGCAGCTACAGTACTATCAAAACCGGATTATTAAAAATACAGGTAAAAACCCACAAGAAGTAACTTTATTTATTCTCTACTAGTGTTTTTTTTTCAATCTCTAGCTAGGATTTTTACTAAGTAAAAACGTGGCTTCTTTTTGTTTTCCAGACAGACCAATGCTTGAGCATGTCCATGCCAGGTCTGAGTTTTAACAATTAGGTTTTGAGAACAGCAAATAAGTGGCAAAGCAACTATCTTAAAAAAGGGGAAAGTAAACAACACAATCAGCAGCAAAGTATATATGCTACATTCAATCCCCAAACACAGAGTATTTACAGAGAAAATCTTTCCTTCACCAGCTCTCAGCTGTAGAAGTATTTTTGTACAAATACTATATGGTAACAGTTTTACCGGTTACAATTGGAAAGGCATTTTGAAAAAAGTCCTCTCTTTATATATCCCCTATTCTCTTTCTTTAGTGACGTGAAAGTTTTGCCGCACAAAGACACGACACAGTGCTGGTTTAAAGGCAGTCCAATAAAGTCCAGACATTGTTTCAGTGAGTCTTGAATTCACACCTGTCAGGTCTTAACAGTTAGCAAGACTTTTTGTGAGGACTGCTCCGCGGAGCTTCTTTTCCTCGCCGTGGCCGAGCCGAGTCTTTGTCGTCAGAAAGTGCGTTTGGGCGTTCGGGTGTGGTTGCTGACCTGGATGGATCCTTACCTACATTCTGTTTCCTTGAAGCAGACTGATGAGCCTGGATGGCATCTTTTCCCTTTACATCCACAGTGTTAACAAAAAAAGACTTTTCTTGATTAGCAGATTTCCCTCCAAGGTTTGTAGCAGAGTAATGGGCTTCTACTACAACAGCAGAACTGTGCAAGGCCATCAGTGAAACGCTTTTAGTCATTTCTGCCCTACCGCTCCCTGCGGAAGAGGCGCTTTTCTTATTCAGTTCCTTGCAGGTTGCAGGAAGCTCAGGTGAGCCTGCTTTGACCTTGGCTGAGGATGCATCACTTTTTGCTGAAGACAAAACAGAGACTTCTTGTTTACATTCAGAGAAATTGACCGAACAAGTCAGTGGCTTTCCTGGTGTTGCAGCCACACGAGAAGCACTCTGTCCACTGGCAGTTGGCAAGTGTTTTACGGCCATCTGCTTGCTTGCATCCTCTGGCTGTTTTTGATTAACTTGCCCTTTCCCTTTTGAATCTTGAGAGCTTTTGCTACTTGCAGTCGCTTTTTCTGCTCCTTTCCCTCTGGAATCGCAGTTTGCAAGGCGAAGGGGAGCCTCTACTTTCCCACTGTCGAGCTGAACATAAAGTGCATCAGTGCATATTTTTCCTTCAGGTCTTTTGTCTGCAGAGATTATCTCGTTACTAGGACTTTTATCTGCCTGTTTGCTCAGCAAGAGACAGTCTTTCACAGTGGAGAACTTTGGAAACAGGGTTTGTTTTTCATGGAGGTGAAGCTGCTTTTGATCAGCAGATTCCCCCAAGCCTGCTGGTTCTTGGCTCTGCATCTGCTTAGAATTCTCTGGGCCTGCTGCTACCACGCCAACAGCAGAGCATTTGGGTTTGGTATCAGGAGAAGTGGTGCTCATTTGCAGGGTGGCAACTGAGCCTTGCTCCAAATTCACAGGACTTTCAGCCTGCATGTGTTCATTGCTCCCTTTTTTCAAAGAGCCTGGAACAGAAGGAACAGGATCTAGCATATTTTTACTGGCATGTTTCCCATCCTTCCGCGAGCTGGCAGACATCTGAGTAGTAGTTTCTTTTTCTTTTACAGCTGGAGTGCATGTTTTTTGTGACAATGTCTGTTTATCCAAGTACTTAGACTTAGAGGAACCTGCATCAGAGGCTGACCTGTGTTTATTACTGCTGCCTTCCACAGAGGTGGAAGCAGGCTTCACGTGTTCTTGAACTCCTACATGAACATCTACGGCACACTTTATGCTTGCAGCGTCTCTCACAGCAGGGGACCCTGAAGCACTAAGTTGTTGTCGAGGAACTTGGCTCAACTGCTCTCCCTCAGTAGTTTGAAGCCTTACGTCAGTGAGCTGTTTCTGGTCTTTCTTTCCTAAATCTTTGGCATTGTCCTTCTGCACAGAAGAAACCAATACAGACTTCTCGGTTTTAGGATCACAATCAACTGAGGGTTGCATGGGCTGTTTGGGTGGAAAAGCCTCACTCTTTGACTCTGAGACAACTTTCTGAGACTCCCCGAGGACCTTCTGCTTGGTTATGTCCTTTTCCACAAAACTACTAGCAAGAGTGCTGTCATCTTTGCCTAGCTGTTTCAGTGATTCTTTGCCATCCTTAGGTTGTGCCTTGGGGCTGGCCGCCTGTTTTTTAGCTTGCATCTGAGACGGAATAGCAAAATCAGCACAGTTTTTTTCATTGCTTTTGGAGTAGCTCATTATCAGGACATCTGAGACAGACACCTTCAAAGATGACTCCCTGATCACCTCCACCTTTGCAGGGATAGGCTCACAACTTCTCTGAGCTACTGGCTGTTTGTCAGGCAACTCCTTTTGTATTTGCTTCTCTTTTCCTACAGCTTTTTCAGGAGTGCTTTGGACAGCAGAAACTTTGGAGTACGTTTTAGTTTTGACATTCTGAGTAACACAAAACTTCACCTCCATTGAATTGTCCTTTTGTTTTGAAGGGGAGGTGTCTTCCTTTTGAACAGCTTCAGTAACAGAAATACTGCCTTTACTAGCTGAACTAGAAACCTTCTTCTCTGTCGCTACTTCCGCAGCCACAGGGATGACTGGTGGATCTGAAGAACTCTTGCTTACTTGCAGAACCTGACGCTCTGATACATTGACTTTGCCAGACTTTGAATAGCTTAATAACTGCTCTTTCTGACAGGACAGTTCTGCCTTCCCACCATTCCCTGGTGGTGCTGGGGGTTTAGGAGATCCCGCATCACTGCTGGTGCTCTGTCCTTCTGGCAGCACAGACAAAGGCAGTTCATTCTTGGAAGCCTGTGGTCCAGAAAGTAAGGCAATGTCTAGTGTACCTTCTATTGGCTTCAAACAGGAGACAGACCTCCCCTCAAGTTTATATTCTGATGGACTTTTTCTGACAGGAGCTTCAGTGGATATAAGGGCTGATTTTTCCACACTCATGTCTGCTCGGCTGTTCAAGGTCTTGAGAGGAACAAAAGAAACCGAGTTAATCTGAGCAGCATGGGCACTGCCAATAAACGCTCTACCATCAGCAGTGCAGTCCTGCTGTACGTTTATGGGTCGGCCTGTATTAAGCTGAAGGCATTCATGAACATTTGATGTCAATCTGGGTTTTAGCACTGGACAGACACTATCATCTTTTTCTTCAATGGACATTTTCTTTCTAAGATAATCAATATTTGCAAGTTTGCCATCTAATCTTTCAAATTTGACAAATTCTTTTGCTGGTACATTTTTATCTGTGTTTTCTCCCTTTCCATTTAGCATCCTGTCAGAGGACTGAGGTAGCACATCTTGGAGTGTACAGGGAGGGGAAGTTCTTCTGAAGTCGTAAGAAATGTGACTGAGTTCATTAGGAGGAGGCCCATGACACAACAACTGTGCATCTAGAGCAACACAATCATTTGATCTCAAGTTTGCATTCTTTTGAAGGGTGTCTTTAAGCATGCCACCAGCTGACTGGGTCTCCAAAGCAACAATTTTTGTTTCAAACTGAGTTGATCTCTCTAATACCTTCTGGAATGCTTTTTTGTCTCTTTCTTCCAATCTTAAGGTACTGGTATTTTCAGGTTCACTGCTAGGTTCATGTATAGCAGCATTTGCTTTGTCAGCAAAATCTTGTTTTTTCATAACTATCTTGACCTTCAGTTTCTCTCTGTCTAGCTCATCGACCGATTCTTGCCTACCTAATTTTCGGGAGATGGGTCGTTTCAAGCAGCCCTGCTCTGCAGGCCTGACTCGTGTGAGTGATGGCACATCGCATACACTCTCCTCCAAGCTCTGAAGAGTTACTTCTCTTTGGGACAATTCTCTATTCACTTCTTCCTGGGTCACTTCCAGACTGTGTTTTCGTGAACATAAGTGTTTCTTATCACCGCCATAAGAGGGTGCAAGTTTCTCTTCAGACTGAACTCTCTTTAACAGTGGAGATCTTGGTGGCTCTGCACTTTTTGGCCTAACAATATGCCTTACAATAGTTGGAGGGGAGTGCATTTTGCTAGGAAAAGATTGAGCTATTTTTGTATTTCCAATGGAATGTCCTAGCAATGGCGATGGAGATCGCTGAGGGGATGTTGGCTGTGGCGGAGGAGAAGGTGTCCGAGCGAGAGGAGAGAGAGGAATGCTGCCAGCTGATTTGCGTCTTCCTGATCTGTATCTTTGCCCACCAAGCTTTGGACCCAAGCCATGAAGAGTGCTGGGTCTTATGTGTCCTGAACCAGCTGGAGAATTGGGAGCACTTGAACTAGGGGAACTACTCTGGGAAGAGTTAGTACCTATGAAAAAAAAGAAAATCAAACAAAAGTAAGATTAGCAAGAGTTTTTGAATCTTGTTGAAATGCTCAGACATAGAACTTCCACTTGCCCAAAAGGTCTACATGCTGTCTGCTGCCACAAGGTTCCAAAATTTGGCAGGTTTTAAGTGACTACGCTGTAAACTCCCATAGTTCCAACTATGTTGCTGTTTCTCCTTTCTCCTCTGTTCCTCATACTCTTTGAGTTATCACTTCCTTACGTTTAAAGCTAATGCTTTTTGACACTTTAAAGCAATGATCCAGGCTTTCCAATTAGTTTTTTTCCCCAAGAGATCGTACTATTGCCGTCACTTTTAGTATACGCTAATAGCACAACAGAAGTGAAAGAGGAAAAAAGTGGCAAGCTTTTAAGGGACAGAAAGATGCATATTTCAGCACGCAACCAATCTCTGCAGCAGTAAACCTACATTCACAAGTGTCCAAGGTAGCTTGTCCTCAGTTTGAATCTTCTACCAATCAGCCTCTCCTAGGCAAGATTCTACATTTTATTTCAAATTTGGATTTTTACTCAACTTTCAGCCATTGGATTTGTATTTAAAATCTGGGACAAACCTAGCAGATAGTTCCCTTCCAGGTGCTTCTGTATCAGGAAAACACCTTTGATTTTTCAGGAATCTTCTTCCCTTTTGCAGACAGAAAACAGCTGTTCAACAATTATGCCTGCCAGAGGTAACTACTCTTAGCAGAGTGTAATATCTGAGAGATTCACAGGAAGTCGAATACACTTCAAGACCTCTTCTTCTGCCCTCCCCTCCTTCACACTCACCTGATGGAAAATCAGGAGTAGAGCGGTAGCTTGGGGTAGGTGATCTAGGAGATAAGCTGTGGGTTGGAGACCCAGGCAAGCTCTCTCCTGATGAAAGTGATCGGTTCAAGCAGGAGAAACTTCTGCTGGTGTGAAGCAGAGGAGAGGGTTGCTTGGCCAGCTTTTTAAAGAGAGATCTTCTCCTGGTGTGAGAAAAGCACAGGATTAATCAGAGGTTGAGATGCACAGAAGATGAAAGTGAAACCATCAGTGAAACTCTTGCAAGCTGACATTGCTTCTCCCTCCCATTACTCTCAGAAGTGCAATACTAAATCTAAGTATTACATGAAAGCAAACCACACATCACAGTGTGAAGTTTAGAAAATATCCTGATTTGCTAATAAAAGTGGGATATTTTAACTCCTACGTCTATTTGTACCAAAATTTCTCAGTGTTCACAAGAACAGTTAGCTCCTTATGAATATAAACCTTCTTTTTCTTAATTAAAGAGCCCATCAAAACTCAAAGAATATCTATAAAGTGCTAGTGATTTATTTACAATACACAAACTTATCATCAAACTAAAATGCTCATAAGCTTAGCACCTGAAACTTTAATAAAACAAGTACAAAAAGATATACTTAAACATATTAAGATACATCTGCTATTCACTTCCTTCCCCATATCCATCTGTGTGCCATGCAAAATTTTTAGGGCTTGTTCTAACAGACCTGGTTTAGGCAAAACAGGATCATACGGACAGATTACAACCATAAGATCTCATAGAAAAAGTTAAAAGGACATAGAGGATAAGAGAGAGAACCCTATTAACTTCATGTTTTAAACTGTTATGTATACACACACACAAGGAGACATATACACCATGAAATAAAAGGATTACTCACCTCTCTAAAGTTTCTTTCTTCTTGGTTTTCTTACTGCGCCTGACCATTCGGCTCCTGTAGCTGTTTCGCCTGGCAGGTCCTGTCTTGATGGAAGTGTTTTCAAAAGGGGTTGTTGTTACTGAGACTTTGTTACCACTCTGCCAAAAGAGAGAAGGAACCTTCAGGTGCGAGTGATACAAGGCAACTCTGCCTTAAATTCAAGTTACACTGCTAATCTGAATGCAACAGAACTTCACCACCAGAGTAAGAGCTGGCAATGTAGGAAACCCCATGCAGATGCTGCCCAGATAATTTGTGTCAGATAAATGACGACTGGAACCTCCTCAGGTTCTGCCCAATTTCCTCAACTTCCTCCCTTCCAGCCTTGGGACAAACAGAAATGCCAATAATTGTGGCTAGAAAGGAGGAGACCAAGGACTGACTAAAACTGCAGTTTCCAAGATGAAAGCTTCTACAGAAACACCCAATTTTCCCACAAAGAACAGCTATCACTAAGCACTGATCCACTCACCGTCCGTAATGTCTTGGGAGACTGACTGTTACAATGATGAAATAGAGGAAAACTTAATCTGCATTACCAACACTTCTGTCTTGTTCCAAAAAGATGATGCATATAATTAAGTTAAAGCTTAAGGGCTGTTTGCATGAACAGATGACTGGAAATACCTATATTATGTTTTAAAAATATCCATACCTACTGCCCAGCACTGCATATCACTACAGTGAGCTTCGTTTGAAAGGAATTCCAATAGTCCAAATTAAATTATGATACAGCACATTTAGATAATTATTAATCTCTCATTTTGAGTTTACTCTTGTAAGTAGTGTGCAGGGTTGTCACGTTTGTGTTTTTCTGTGACACAAAAAACAACTGTACAACCAACTACCTAAAAGTAGAGAATTTTCTCTTATACATTCCTTGCTAAACTGGAACACCTGGAAGTTCCTCCCTTTCCAGAGAAGGTAATTAAAGATTTAAGGAAAAGCGTATTTTTACTTTCCTTAGCCCTTTACATTTCCCCAGTACTTCACTGTTTTCCAAATGTTCTTTTGTAACCTACTACTCCTTTTGACAGGCAAAGTGCAGCATGTAACACCATAAATTATTAATAATAAACTAAGTAAATATACAGCTGTTTAAAATAATTCTGACTTGCACTAGTCTGTCCTGAAAAAATACATAAAAACTGCAGTATGAAGGACTGTAGCAAAAGGCTGAGACACTACAATTCATTTTAAAAGTTGGGGGTTTTGTTTGTTTTTAAGGAAGAATTGTAATCTTCTAACAGTACAGACTGTGGAAAACTCCACAACAGAAAAATATATGATAAGAATATCCATAAAAGTCCAACCGCAAGATCAGAACTTCATTAAGCACAGCAGGTCTGTGGCATGTCTCACTATGTATTAAACAAAAAAACCTTTTGGGCCTTAAGATTATGAAAAGCAAGTTCAAGTAGCCAATAAAAAGTTGCCCATTCTTTCCTTTCACTTTTAATCATCGATTTAACTTTACAAGGAGCAAATGAGAAGTAGCATCATCATCAAAAGCCTGAGTTATCCAATGAAAGTGGAGGAATTCAAAAAGTGCTTGACAATGTCAATTTTTTTTGAGAGACAGAGACACCTCTTTGTGTCAGTCCCTTGAATGTCCTCTGGCTATCTCAGAAGCAGTGCCAGTTTACTGTACTGAAACTAAAATCATAGCAGCATGTATGAAGTCATTGACTTTGCAGATATGAGCAACAGTAACTTAAGAGTCTGTACTTGAACAACCACAAAATCTGGTAACTAATCTCTGAAGGAAAGAAACATAACCCCTCAAACCTTGGTGCAAAGAGCAAGTGCTTTTATATCCCAGTTGGCCAAGCGTTACCTTTAACAATAACTCAATAACTTCTGTATGAACAAGACCATGCACTGGCTCGCCGTTGATATGAGTAATCAGGTCTCCAGCTTTTAAACCTGCTTGGTAAGCTGCACCTCCTTCTTCCACATTCTAGAAATCAGAGACAAAGAAAATATACGTATATATAAAAAGGACTTCTGTTTAACCTTCATACTTTCAAAACTAAGGTCTGTTTAATGAACCCTTCCTATAAAACCTGTTGGCAATGAAAAAAACTTACAGATATTAAGTTATATAAAGGAAGAGAAGAAAAATCATACCAGTCATTTCACCATCAACTACTTAAACTTTATACTTACAGGGGGCCTAAAATAATTTAAAATCTCACTGAAACACTGCTTATTGCCTCTGCTATTAAGTAAACTCTGTACAGCAGGGTAGTTCTCACGCATGATAAAAAAGGGTTGATTCACTCCCCGTGGCACAACTTCTGAATTGAATTAGTATTTTTAGCATCCGACACTGGGAAATACTGATGTAATTAAGGCAGTGGTCACATGCACTGCCTCAATCATGATAAAAATTAACTCCACTATATAGTTAAGGACTGCTTTCATTTGGTTCAAATTCACCAGGCTGCCCATTAGGGGGGAACAGTGTGGGCCAAAGATGAAAAAGCACCAAAACAAACTCAATTACAAATTATTTTGAAGGCAGCTTGAAAAATTTATTACATTTTAAAATTAGGCTTTGAAGAATTTTAAGTCATGCAGCCACTACTGAAAACTAAAGTGCACACAGAGCCAAAACCAAACAAGCAGCCTATACTATTCTGAAAAAAAGCCAAGGTTTCAATTTTACTGCAATATACCATTTTTTCCCCTTCCTTTCACTGACGTGATGCTACCACACTAGAATAAATTAAAAAAAAATATTTCTTGCCATTATCAATCAGATGTACCCTATACTCCAGATTCAATGTTCTTGATGGATTAGTAAGTCGGAGAGGTAAACAATGTGAATGAAAAAAATGAGTAATACACTACTGTATCAGTAGTACTGCTACTTCAGAACTTAGAATAAATATCTAAAACAAAGCACTGTACAAAACTTCAAAGCTTCTGATATATTTGTAATCTATTTTTCAAAATTATTTTAAGGTAGTTGAAGTAGTTTATATACACAGACACATACACTATTTATGCATGTACCCTATATAAGTTATACAAAACATATAATTTGTTGCCAGCCTAAATTATAATATAAATACACATATTTACAGAAGTATATATTTATTTTACAATTAAGGAGTTTGATAAGCCATGAAATGCAAGAACTGCTGTCTTCTCCTTTAGCCTGTCTCCTACTTCATTAAAATCAGTAGTGAACAGAGGATGAAAAACACATGATTTATTCAAGACAGACAGTCATTTTCCTGTGCCACAGAATCCTCAAAGGTATTCACAATTCCAAATGATTTGCACATTTCTGCACAAAAGGAAGTCAGTGCTTGAAGTCAGCCTACTTGGGCCTAGTAAGATACTGCTGACTTTGATGAATCCCTTAACTGACACAGTGTAATAAACTCCATGTATATTTCAACAATTTCTCTATACAGCCTCCTAGTCTTGCAGATCCCACCCTCAAACAAAGAAGGGCTGCACCAACACTTAGTTTTTCTAAGCCACAGTGTTCTGAACTTAGATCAGACTCTTCACAACTGCCAAACCCGCCAGAAGCAGAAATGATCCATGCAGAAGGTCAATAACCTAAGTAGGTACCACTTCTGCCAAAGGTGGCTTTGTGCCATACCTACACTGGTCTTGTGCACAGACTCATTCTAAGAAAATTGTTTGGCATAACATCGTGATCTACACAGTAACTGTCAACAAACAGAAACCACAGGTACAAAAATCAAAAGCAAACATAAAAATTTCTACGGCTCTCTATAAGCAAAAAATTGTATTATCTTACCCAAACAATATGGTCCACAGTGTAGATATCACTGTCACCCACGTAAACCCTGATTGCTCGGATAGTGAAGCCAAACTTTTTCCCTGAACTGTGAATTACTATTGGTTGATGAGGACTTGCAGAAGCCATCGACGAATCACGGCTGGGAGATGAATCTCGGGAGGATGAAGGCTCAGATGACAGGGAGTGAGGAGACATAGGACTTCCCAAAGGAGAAACACCAAACACGTCTGGAAGAAAAAAATCTGCCAATCTGAGTACACTCACAAAACAGGGAAACAGCTTAGTTCTATGACACTTTTGTTCAAAATATATCACAGTCTCTACATAAACACTCTCTCCTCCTCAACCGGCGTGTATCTCAGTGATCTTAGAACTAAATTTCTTTCCCTGTAATGTCAACTGTATTTTTTAACGCCACAGTTAACTTCTTAGACTGCTTTTTCCTTTTAGATAGGAAAAACATTCACTGCTCCCTGTGAAAGAATGATTCTCACCCTGTTCTGAACAAACACATGGGAAAAAAGATCAGAGTCTGGTAGCAGATGTTACTGTGAGTACACCCAAACCATCCAACAGTGCTAAACAAGTGCTAGTTGTTTTATTTTTTGTTTCAGTTATATATAGATACAGATAAAGACTACTGTAATTAAAGCACAGGATTTAGTTGGTACATAGGACAGTAACTCAATGCTCGTACCAAGCCTCCATTTCTAAATTCTGCTACACCATTTAAGACCACAAGAATTTCTTGCAGCAACAGTTATCAATTAAAAGCTTTATTTCATTATTTTGAAAGCACTATGTGCTCATGCTTGTGCAAATGCAAACACAATTGCAGCAGCACAAAACACACTTTGGCGGCTGAACAGGGCGACATCTCTGCAAAGGGCATGCAGCCCAGAAAGATTCCAGTTTTGGTGGCCATGCCAAGCCATGTCATTAGAGGACAGATACGTTCTGACAGCAGAGGTATGACTTCCTGGATGCGAGTCACCAGAGGCTCCCAGAGACCGGTATCACTGTGCTAATGCTAAAATCCCACAGAACAGCCAAGCCCCGAGGGTGCTGTCACTGTCACCCTCTGGCTCTGAAATATGCCCAGATCCTCCAACCTCTGCTTTCTGCTGCTTGTGGGACATGTCCTGTGACTCTCAGCTACATGACTGAGGTCAGGAACATTTGCCATCTGTTACTGTAGTTTATTTTATGGATATAGGTCTTCTAGACAGTATTAGGTTCAGCTATAATAATATTTTGGCCAATATAATGCCAACATTAAAGTTAAATTTGGATTTTACAGGATGATGCTGAGATTAAACTGAAAGCAAACCTTATTCTAATGAGCACAGTAACTCAGTCTACATCATCTCTGATTTCAGTGTTTCTTAGTTGACAGCTGTGACAAAACTACTAGAATACAAACTGATGATTAACTTGAGTGTTACTTGGCTGTGTAATTGACTTGTGTGTACATTATGCTCCTGTGATGGATAATTTCAATAATTTGCATGCGTTACATGCCCTCTACAAACAGAAAAAAATAACCATGGTGCTGTTACAGGGGTATACCAGAAAAACCACTTGGGATTTTTGAGAGAGAAATATTTGGAATAGACTTTACACAAGGAACAACCCAAGAATGTTTGCAAGCCACTTGCAGTTTTCATTGACAACACTGCCCAGAACAGACTGAGCACATGGTCAGTACCGTTCTCACTGTAAAAACAAAAGTCACCTTCATCTATCACGCATTTTGGGAAAATGTGTCACATTCAGCCAGCATTGCAGAAACGCTAAAGTTTTCTCTCCCTTGTCACCCAGTTTACCTCAATCATGCAGGGGCAAAATATGTCTTTAACTGAGACTCAATATTTTCCTCTTATCTCATTAAAAAATCTTGATAGTTAGATGCTGGATTTACAGGCACTGCATAGGAAGCCTACACTGTTTAAACTGTGAAGAAGGGTGGAAAATGAGCTGAATCAGAAATTTTTGCAGTAATAGGTATTGGATGGACCTTCCACCTCTCCAAAACACAGGCACAGTAACACAGGGTTTGTTCACCAAGGTATTAGGGAGCACATAGAGCAAATATGCTTTACAATGCCAAGACAGGGGAATCACAGACTCAGAGAATGGTTTGGGTTGGAATGGACCTTAAAGGTCATCTAGTTCCAGCCTGAGCAGGGACACCTTCCTCTGGACCAGGTTGCTCAAAGCCCCATCCAGACTGATCTTGAACTCTTCCAGGGAGGGGGCATTCACAGCTTCTCTGGATAACCTGCTCACTAGCCTTGCAGTAAAGAATTTCTTCCTAATACCTAATCTAAATTTACCCTCTCCCAGTTAGAACATGTTACCCCATGTCTTACCACTACACTCCCTGAAAAAGAGTCCCTCCCAATCCTTCCTGTAGGCTCCCTTTTAAGTACTGGAAGGCTGCTCTAAGGTCTCCCTGGAGTCTTCTCTTGTCCAGGCTAAAACACCCCAATTCTCTAAGCTTGCCCTCATAGGAGAGGTGCTCCAGCTCCCTGATCATCTTTGTGGTCAGTCCCCCTCTGGACCCTTTCCAGCAGCTTCATGTAGTCCTTGTGCTGAGTACTTCAGAGCTGGACATACTACTCCAGGTAAGCTTTTGTAAGAGTGAAGTAAAGGAGCTGAATGACCTCCCTTAACCTGCTGGCCACACTTTTTTTGATGCAACCCAGGATACAGCTCACCTTCTGGACTGTGAGTGCACACTGTGGGCTTATGTCCAGCTTTTCACCTACCAGCACCCTCAAGTCCTTCTCTGCAGGGCTGCTTTCCATCCATTCATCACCCAGTCTATATTTGTGCTTTGGGTTGCCATGACCCAGGCGCAGGACCTTGGCCTTGTTGAGCACCATGAGGTTCACACAAGCCCATCTCTAAAGCCTATCAGAGTAACTTTGGATGGCATCCCCTCCCTCCAACGCATGAATCGCACTGCACAGCTTGGTGTAATCAGTAAATTTGCTGAGTGTACACTCAACCCCACTGTCCACATCACTGACAAAGATGTTGAAGAGCACCAGTACCAACACTGATCCCTGTGGAAAGCCACACATCACTGGTCTCAATTCAGACAAGAAGTCACTGACCACAGCTCTTTAAGTGCTACAATTCAGCCAATTCCTGATCCACCAAGCAGACCATTCATCAAGAAGACAAGTCTAAGAGAAGAGCTAGAACCGTCTTCAACACCGAGTGATTTTCCACAAGCACAACGACTTGAAGCCATCTGCTGAAGTGACAGTCAAAGCCACCTTTGAACACATGGAGCAAGTGCAGGGTTATGCTCTCAGACAAGCAGATAATTAAATATTACACCTAAGGTCTAGAAGCAGCATATAGCCAGCAAGCGAAGCGAAGGTGTAATTCCACTTTTGGAAAAAATCCCTTACTTTGGGAAATCAGGACTTTGATTCGGGACCATTAAAAAGCAAAGCACCAATGCTTCATTCGAGAATTCAATACAGCAATATTTCTGGCTTCAAACTTTGATCCATGTAAGTCAATGTAGTACAAACAGAAGCCTAACCTGCTCTTTTTAGTTTTGTGGCACTTCTCACCTGCTTATCACCTCTCCTTATGGGACATGGGAGAGGACTAGTCAGCTTGAATGTGATGCTATAACAAACACCTATACTTGGAGCTGTACACAGTGAGCTACTTAAAACTTAAGCTACACCCCTGCTGTAGGATAGGCCAGGAACTGAAGCCTGCATCCTGATGTTCATGCACACAATCGAACACAAAGTAGTCACCACTAAGATGCATTTTTGCTTGTCAGAGAAGGTCCCTGGGCTGTAACGTGAGCACTGTAACCAGCTGATGAGGCTGCACCTTTCTAGTAGTGCATGTGAACAACAAGAGAAACAAAAAAGCGTGACACAGAATCCACTCTGGACCCTCCAAAATCTTGCATTTACATCATAAACCATCAAGTACATATAAATCATAATGTTTCAAACAAAAATATTTATCTCTACCTCCTGGGATCATGAGTGACAAAGCACTTGCAGAAAGGGACTTTGTGACTTTTCCAGAGATTTTCTTTTTCTCTGTGCTTTCTAATCGCTGACGAGCCATGTGAGATGCAACTTCACTGGGTGGCTTTGAGGAGTTATCTGTACTGTCCACGCTCTCACTTCTTCCATTTATCTGATCTAAGTGCTCTGAAAAACTGCCAACTGTACAAAGAAGAAGGGATAAACACATTGAGGGAAAACTGGGGGTCAAAGAAGGGAAACAGTAAAACTGTGAGATATGAATTTTCCTTCTGTTCACCAGGTCATAAAACAACAGAGAAATCTGAAAGGCATACATCACTGAAATGTTCTTACTTAGAAACACAGAACGGTTTCACATCCTTAGAAAGTAGTGTCGATCAGCTGGAAAGACTCCAGGATGATAATCAAAAGATCACCAATGCTTTTTGAAAGCACCTCTGAAATAAAGGACTTCTAAATCCATGAATGCTACTACAAAGAAGGTCCATAACTGTTACTGATATCATCAGTCAACAGACTCACTGTGAATTACCTGATAATGTGGAGCTGCTTATTGTGCTTGCTGGAGTGGTTACTTCAGGTTCATCTTGCACTATTTCCTCACTGACAAATGCAGGCCTTTCCTGTTCCTCCTGGGGTCCCACTAAGCTGGTGGAATTATCCTGTTCTCCTTCAGCTGATATGGCCAACTTCGGAAGCAAACCAGAGCTGTGGTGCTGCTTGCTGTTCTCAGTGTCAGAGGAGATGGATGTAGGAATTTGTTGTCTGCATTAAAAATAAACAAATTCTCATGCAGTTACTGAGATGAGGGGGCCTGCTCCCAGGCAAGCAGGATGTGGGCCACTTCAGCACCTCCGTTCTACTCACATTTCAGAGTATTCTGAACTCCAGCTTAAAGATTCCATAGAAGGCAATGCTATATTTTTTGTTTTGTCTCCCGCATCTTCCTTTTCTTCACCTTGCATTTGAGTGACTCGATCTATGCTACTAAAAACCTAATACAAACAACAAAATAATAAAAAAATATAAATCAACAAATCACTGATGTATTTGATATAGAAAGATAGGCAGGAAAGCACACTGCAGGTTGTAGTCTGCATGTTCTCAATGCTTATACAGTATTTCAGAGTGCAAACTTCAACATTCTTGACGCTTTTTAAATTTCCAAGAGTTTGTTTTCTTAAAATGTTTTACTGTTTTGCCTTCTTGGCTCATCACATGCAGAGTCATGAATAACATCTCTCCTTATGAGTTCCGTTTTCTCCCCATTTAACTGCATGAACCAAAAGAGTACAAACAAAATCTGTAGCCTTGGAGTCTCTGGGTTACGAGATTAACTTACAACCATAAAGCAAGTCAAGGTTAAAAAAGCCCTAACCCTAAGATACTGACTTAGTATCTACCAGTTAGGAGTGGAAAGAGGAAAAATTAATCTGAATTGATTTTGAAGTTAAGAATAAACTACTTCGCTAAAGGACTTAGAGAAAATAAATGGATCATTGGAAGTCTGTTGTTTGCTCAGCTGACAAAAACCACACATATATTGCCAGCTGTATATTCTACAGCCTAAAAAGCACAGTTAGAGATGCACAAACATAATATTAACAAACTGAACTATTACTGTGGCACAGAGCTCTCAGAAGGATGCAAGTTCAAAGAATGAGGTTGGAACAGATCTCTGCACGTTACATTGTCGAACTCCTTTGCACAAGCAGGATCAGCTAGAGCTGGTTGCTCAGGACCATGTCCAGATGACTTCTGAAGACCTCCAAGGATGGAGGCTCCACATCCTCTCTGCACAACCTGTGCCAGTGCTCTATCACTCTCACAGTAAAAATGTGTCGCCTTGTCTTCAGACAGAACTTCATGTCTTTCAGTTTGTGCCCATTGTCTCTCATTCAAGTTACCGCCAAAGACACTGCATGATTTACCAGTATCTGAATTTAAAACATACCACCAAGTCAAAATAAGGAGTTTATGTAGAATGAGGATAACTACATTCATGATTCCTCTCTCTGCTCTTCCATGGTACTGCACATAAAACATATATGCGGTACTGCAGAGCCAGCATAAAATCCAGATTCCTTTCCAAATACCCTTAAATCATTCCTGAAGTAGTTTAAACAAAGTTTTTAAACAGAAAGATTTTGAAAATCACTGTTGGATGCTGTGTTAAGACTAAAGGTGTGCTCACTTGGCATTCCATTTCCATTATTTCCTGCCAACTTACCCTCCGCAGTTCTTCTGGAGGACGTCTACTCTGCTCCTACCGGCCTCCCTTGTCCAGCAATAATTAATTCTCATCTCAGCTACTGAAGTATGATACCCCCTGGACAGCCAGCTTCACTTTCAACTCACAGCATTCAAATCAACCCCTCAAATTCACCTCTCTCTCTCCTTGACAAAATCACACCCTAACCACTACTTCACTTTTCCCCTTCAGTCTCATGTCCTTTAATAGCCACTATAGGCTAGTGCTCTAAACTTTGTTATGTTGCCATCTGCAAGACACCCAGGAGACCACCGCAGCAACACGCCAACTATGTACAAAGAAACCAACATAAGGAATGTGCATTAGCATTCAACAGAAGAGTTTCCCTGAACTTTCTCTTATGCTATCAGGATTTTTTTCACAGAAAATACCAACCTATTCATAGAAGAAATAACTTTCCTACAGAATCTTCCTAAGTTTTGATTTAATGGTATTCATTTCATTCTCGCTCAGTGTCAGTTAACATTTCCTGAAGAAACAACTCTTATAAATCTTTCCCATGTCTAACATTTCCAAATTCTTAAAAAGCAGTAAAATGTTTATGTAGATAATACACACTAGCATTACAGCAATTTTTACTTACTTTTGAAAATCTGTGTGAACATGAGGAAAACTGTCGTATCTCCAAACTAAAATCTTCATCATTGGTATCATCCTCTTCCTCAGTTTCCATATGGTGGTATTTCTCAGAACGAGCTACAGACAAGGGAAACAAAATACTTCAGTTTATCAGGAAGAACAAGCACAGGGCTTTAATATCAGCTAAAAGCATAATTTTATCCTTAACATTATTACTGCTGAAATGTCAGACCACCGCTGAAATTGCAAGCTGCCAGTTGTTTTGATAAAGGAGATTTTCAAAACAGTATGCAAAAGTCAAAGGTAGTAATTATTTAAACATGATGTTGGTGACATTTTTGAATACCATCAAACACCTACTGTCAAAATAACTTGTGTCATCTTCAGACTCCAATTGTGGAATAAATTCTGCTTTCTGCCTCAGCAGACTATTCCAGTCAAGGCTCCTGAAGAACTGATGCTGCTTTACTTCATATGCACCACCTGGGGGAGCCAGAGAAAAACACTGAGCAAATTATACCAACAGTGGCTTGGCTTTGCTTTACCATCTCCACCATCTAAGATTTCTGTTCTTCTGGGTATGCTCATTATCTGTCAGCTAGACATTAATCAGAAGGATCAGTTGTACTAGCAGTGGTCATAAAAATATAAATACGTGTGCTAAATGAGCAAGTACGAGTTAGAAAGTAATAAAAAATTACTCTTCATAGTTGTCCAGTGTAAATACGATTGCTGCCTGGGAGCTCCTTTTGGGGTTTTTTTTGGCAGTAAAACCATTTTAAGGAAATACCTTACCGTTTACCTTCTTATTGATTACTGTCTAGTTGTTATAATGCGTGTTAAACAATGACACCATTTTCAAGTTGAGAAACAACTATAAGAGCACAATGAAATACTGGGATTTTTGTCCTGGGGAGGCGGATGAGTATATCATGAGTAAGTATAAATCTAGTTCTAAAAACTGAACAGGTAACCTGCAGCAGCAAGAGCTACTCACAGCTTGATCGTACTGACTTTATGTGTCCAAATTTTGGCAGCGGGGGGTGCAGTGGTAGCTTCTGTGAGAAGGTGCCAGAAGCTGCCCCCATGTCTGAGTGTCAATGCCAGCCAGCTCAGAGATGGACGTGCTGCTGGCCAAGGCCATCAGTGACATTGGCAGCATCATGTTATGTGCCAGAAACAGCTCTGCAGACACCGAGGCCAGTGAAGGAGGAGGAGGTGCTGGAGCAGAGATTCCCCTGCAGCCTGTGGAGGACCCCAGTCCAGAGCAGGTGTGACCAAGGGAGGCTGTGACCCCACGGGAAGCCCATGACAGAGCAGGCTGCTGCCAAGACCTATGGAGAGGAGCCCATGCTGGAGCAGGTTTGCTAGCAGGACCAGTGACCCCATGGGGGCTGCACACTGGAGCAGTCTGTTCCTGAAGGACTGCACCCTGTGAGGCAATTAATGAAAGACGTCAACCTGCAGGAAGGACCCATGCTAGAGAGGTTTGTGGAGGATGGTCTCCCATGGGTGGGACCCCACACTGGAGCAGGGGAGTGGTGAGTAAGAAGGAGTGGCAGGGACAACGTGTAATGAACTGACTGTAATCCCCGTTCTCCATCCCCCTGCCATGTCATTTTCGGGGAAGGAGGTAGAGAAACTGAGAGTGAAGTTGAGCCCAGGAAGAAAAGAGGGGTGGTGGAAGGGTGTTTTAAGATTTAGGTTTTATTTCTCATTATTCTACTCTGTAATGAAGTTATTTTCCCCAAGTTGAGTCTGTTTTGCCCATGATGTTAACTCCTGACTGATCTCCCTTTCCTTCTCTTGACCCACTAGTCTTTAATTTTATTTTTTTTCCCCTGTCCAGCTGAGGAGGGTGAGTGATAGAGTGGCTTGGTGGGCACCTATTAGCCAGCTGACATCAACCCACCACACTGATCCAGCATGTAAACTCCCCTATGTCACGGCTATGTCCAGAGAGAGCCATAGCAGAAGTGTGAAGTTTCCAGGATTGGTCTTTAGATCAAGACTGTCAAGATTTCCAGGTTGCGTTCTTCGTTTTTCTGAATGCACCTTCACTGCAGGGAAAAATTCATAAAAGCCAAATCTTCCTAAAGGAAACCAAAATCATCTCATTCTATGTCACTAGCCAAGGAGTGAACCTTCCTCTCAACACAATAATGGGGCATAACATCAGAACTGTATAATTCTTGACTGGTATCAGACACTTCTAACATAAGCAGGTCTTTTTTCTCCTGTCATCTTCCTTCTTCAAAATCAGTAGGCTCTCTCTCTCTCTCTCTCTCTTCATTCAACTTGACTGTGCCACTCAGGTCTCCTGAGCAAATACACAGTTACCGTTTTCATGGAGTGCTATGCAGCTAGCTAATACATATTAAATAGACAGGGCTGTCATTTGACACGCATGGGGAAGCCTGGGATAAACCATGCCATTTTCCACCGCCCCCATGAGACCCGTCACACTGCAGCCTTTGTTTTTGTGAGTTGCTTCTGACACTTAAAAAAAAAAAACAACTTCCTTGCAGTTTCTAAACACCCATCTGTGCTTCAAAGAAATGGCTGCCTGACTTCCTTCTTCAGAAAGCCAGCTCCTGAGAGACCATGAAAGAAATCGGGCTGTAAAGGAGCTGCACAGATGCTCCACGTGGCGGCACTGACCATTACAGTAGTTAAGCCAGATTAATTCCAGCCCATTCACTTTCTCAACCAGCTGTAGCAAAAGAGGGAGATTTTGCAACCTGCTTCTGATCCACACTCGAACAGGGTGACAGTCTTGAGTTAACACTGTTTCCCAGGGAAAAAACAAGCTGACAATGAAACAACAGCGCCTGAGAAGAGTATACTTAAAACAAGGGAATGAAACTAGTTTTGCCTCCTCATTTCGCAGCAACATCTCCTTCCCTTTGCAGCAGGTGAAGCACACAGCAAGTGGAGAAGTTGTCTGGGGCATGACACCTCCATCACTCCTAACTTGTTCAACGTGGGGCAGGAGAGAACACCAAACTTTGCTGGATACTATTCACTCCAGGACATCAGCTACAGTTAAGTCTAAGGGCTGTTCACACGGGTCGCAGTGCTCAGGGAGCAAGGGACATGCGGTTCACTCATCTCAGTCATGTCATCATGTCCCAAAGGGAGATCTCTCATTTCAGGCCACGTCAACTGGACTTGGGGTCTGGATATACTCACGTTCCCCCTGAGTGGCTGTAGTAAGGCCAGTTATGAAGTGATTCCTAAAGCTCCTTTTTATATTAGCTCTAAAAATACGAAGCACAGTCTGACCACTGGACTAAGTTTTGTGCCAGCAATTTTCCAAGCTGTGGCATGTTAACACAACCTGCCACATGGTTTCCTTAGTATGCCAAATCTATTTATATTCATGGCATACAGTGTTCACTATAAATAAGACTATACCTTTATATTTGGGCTCTTTTACGTAGGAGGCCTTTTTTGCTGAGTTTACACAGTGCTTTGCCTAGTGGGATGGCAGTCAGTTACTAGGGTTCCAACACATTAACACTTTAAAAATTGTGAAATATTCATTGATACTACCTCTCACCCAAATTCCCAAATAAATCTTGCTCCTTTAACTAATAAATAAACTCTACTATATAAATGTGAAGTGCTTTCATTAGTCTGTACAGGTCCACTGCTCCTAATACCACATTGCCAGTCTTTTTCTCTCAAAATGGAATGAGCACAGCACCAAATAACTACAGTGGAATAAGCCAGCAGCATGTGTTTTCACTGATATCCATTTACCTCCCTAACATTCACACTTTTGAATTTATTCTTTTTCATGCAAGGCAGTAGTGCTTGCTGAATGAGAAGAAGACATTTCACAACACCATCTCAGACAGTCATTTCTGAATAATTAGTTTGAGTACCCATCACCCACCCTAAAGCCTGGGGGCACTAATTTGCCAGGCCAAGATACTTCTGAAAAATGAATCATCAGCTCTGTATCAATTCCCCTTCTCTATTTCTGTGTGTACTTATTTAATAGTATATTAATGAAAAAACTCCATCCAATGGCTAATTGGCTCTTTGAGAAACTTATTTCATTTATCAAATTAAGAGAAGCGTAAATGAGAATGATCACAGGTAAACTCCAAAAAAAGTACAGTCATTACCTTGTGAAGCTCATATTACTGGTCTGAAGCTATAAAACACCCACTGTTACAATGGCATGTTGTCGTGCAGCTTGCCATGACAGATGTCCCCCCAGCAAAACAAGCAGGCAAACAAAAGCTACCAGTGTGGAATATAGAAACTATTTCTAGCACACTAACAATTCAAAATAGTGCCTTCTAACCTGTTCCCAGTCTTTCCAAAGGATTCTGTCTGAGCAGCAGGGTAATCAGATCCTGGGCATCTGGAGGTGGTGCTTCATCCTTTTCAGGCCAGTTGATCTCATCTAGCAAAATGGAAAATTGTAATTACTGAAATCTGATCCAAACATTCAGCAGAAACTGTGTGAAAGTTTTTCTCATAGTGAGCCAATAGCAAAGTCAGAGTTACAGCAACCTTTTCAAGCAGCTCTTTATCACATGCAAATTTCTTCCAATTTTCATACTCTCAATATAGACTTCATAAACATGTTATGTTCCCACGTCCCTCAGAAGTATTGTTTAACCCAAAACACTGTTTAACAAGAGAATGCAGGAATGCTAGGCTCATGAAAAATAATTGCAAAGTACTGGCAAAACTTGTATGCTGTCCCTTCTCCATGCCCCTCCAAAATCATGGTTTAAATTTTATTTCTGTTCCACAGAAACTGCTGTTGAGATGGACATAGCTGACCCGACCCGGCAGCCACTGCTCACATCTGTATTCCTTTTCTAATGCTCAGTGAGGTCATTACTCTCATGACTAAGGGCCGAGGTATAAGAGTGCTCTGGATAGGTACATACCAGTGGAGCTTTTTTCTAAATGTCTCATACTTCAGAGGAAAACCACCTCACTCTACTGACTCTTACACCAGTAAGGCTTTTGCACTTCATAGGAAGCTGGACCTACATCATACAATCATGCTACTAAACCCTGCAGTATTCAGGTAAGGCAGAATTTTTATTCTGCCAAACTTTCATTTAAATCAAACAATGGAAAACTGTACCAGCTTCAATATGAAAATCAACTTTGTAACAGCTTACACAATGTTTTGTTTGATTTTCAGCAGAAGCTGCCTCTGCAAATGTAATATAGTGCACTTTTAGACAAAACTCTGCAGAAGTTTCTTGGGAAGTACAAGAATTTAGGCATCAGAGAAACAGAATGCTAAGAGCTCAGGAAACACTCCAGGCTGTTAAGGATTTTGTTGTCATTATATGACTTTTCCTTCAAAATAATCATCACTGGAGAAATAATCATCCTAAGTTAAACACAAGTTTAATCTTTGTATTTCAGAGTTTAAGGAAAGGTACTGAAATACACAGGCATGAAATGTAACCTGTGTCTGGAGCATTATTTTAACTCTGATCATTTTAGGCTTCTAAGTATACTGAGGCCTCCCACAGTTGTACTCGTAAAATCTGGAGGCACGGAAAGCAACCTACAATGAAGAAGGAGCAAGGTAAAATAAGCAGGCAAGATTTTAAAGTAAATTTTCAAGTAGAATGTAGATTTCATGCACAGAAACTGGAATAAAAGTCTAGGCTATAGTTTGGCTTCTTTAACACAGCTTTTAACATTGAATACAAGGGAAACACATTTTAGCACAGCAAACGTACCAGCAAAAAAAGTTCTAAGAGTAAGAATGATTTCAGTACGTAAGGGTATTTAAAATAAAAGTGAACAAACTGAAAAGTCAGTACCAAACCAAGAAACTAAGATGATTGAGTCTTAAGAGAGTGAGTGGGAATAGATCAGGTTTAGAAGCATACATTTCTATAGATAATTTCTGGAAAATAATGGAAGCATTCAAAGAGTTATTTAATGCAATAAAAGCATGAGTTATTTACATGCTTGCCTGCCTATAGCTTCCACTGCAGTTTAGATCTGATTTGTAAAATAAAGCATGAATATGCATCGCAGCTGTGAGGCATCCAGAACAAAGCCAGCATTTACTGCTTGTGTTAATTAAATAGTTGATTCTCCTTGTCACTCAGGCCCTGGCATAACACATCAGAAAACAACATGGTTATAAAACAGTGAACAGCTAGGATGCTGTATAAAGAGGTCATATACTAAAGACAACTCATAAATCCATTTCATTATGGTTTACAAACAAGTCTGGCTTTCAACTTCAGAGACGATGACCGAGTGTCTCCTTAAGTACAAAAAGGGAATTGTTGCATTTTCAGAGCACAACAAGCCAGACGCGCAGTTAGGTTTTTTTTCTGCTGTTTTTTTTTTTGTATGCTTGGGTTTTGGGTATTTGGGTGGTTTTTTGTCCTTTTTCTTTTTGGTTTGGTTGGTTTGTTGGTTTTTATTCAGGTGATGAGGGTTTTGTTTGCTTGGTTTTGTGTTGTTTTCTGGTTGTTTTTTTGTTTTTTTGTGTGTGTGCGTGTTGGGTACAGGACCTTTAAGCAGACCATAAAGCAGACTGGGAAATACTAAGTAACAGAGGTGCCATTCTGTTAAACTTTTGGCATGAACAGAGGTTGTCTACATCTATGCATCTGGGAAATTTATGGAAACAGCAGGTAGGATAAGAAACAATTCTGTTTAATTATCATTCAGTTTTGCCACAAGCCACATAACAATACTTAGGGTCAGCTTGCAGGTTAAAATCTAAAAGTTTATTGAATTTTAAATGGAAGAAGAACAGCTGCTACAGAAATAACATTACACTACAACAATCACCAATGAAATCATTAACAATCTGTGAATTGAATTTGTTTCCTTCTCTTTCTCATTATTTATTATTCGGGAGACATTTCTTTTAGGGTTTTATTACATCTTTGCTAATTTCTTCATTGTGCCATGAGACATTTTTCCACTTATGCAAATTTATTTTAACTGTTTCTTTTCTGAATTTCTTTACTAAGGACTGAAGCCACTGTGCCATAGTGGCATTACTTTTTTACTAATATTGCTTTTTTTTCCCTGACAGTGCAGCTTCACCATGGTACTCTATGTTACTGAATTGCTGCAGTTAACAACAATCTATACCATGTTCAGCTTTCAATCCAAATTTATTCTTTATCGTTTTAACAGCAAATTGTGTATTACAATATTACAACAGTTTTTGGATCAAAACTAGCTTGAAAACCCAGTCTACAAGTAAAGCTGTAAATAACTTTACTAATAACAGAAATCGAAATGCTTCACAGCAAGCTAAGGAATTTGGTTTTTTTTTTGTGATGATACTCACCACTGATTACTTGTCCAAACAGTTCTTCTGGTGTATCTCCGAAGAAAGGCACACACCCAACAAGAAATTCGTAAAGGATGATTCCCATAGCCCACCAGTCCACGGGTTTTCCATAACCCTGTCTCAGTATCACTTCAGGAGCTATGTATTCAGGTGTGCCGTAGACCTAAAAGGAACAAAAAAAGCATGATGGAAAAAAAGGAAAAAAAAAGAAAGTCTAACTAAGCTATGTCACATCATTTATAATTCTTGAAATGTAAAATAATAAGCAAACATGGAAAAATGGAATTCATGAGGTTTTAGTCCGCTGAGACTGCATAACAGCTAATGTTTTTAGAGAGACCTGCTACAGGCATCAGAATAAACACTTGAGCATTTGTCTTGCAAAGGAGAGTCTGTGTTTTGTATAGATGAGTCCATCACAGCAAATATTTTATTTAACTTAAACATACTGTTATCTTTACGTGAAAGTTGTGATGGTTTTATCTTAAGTAACTTTTACAGTGAACAGATTGTGAGCAATGGTAATGAGGCATGCTTGAAGGGAAATGGGCCATAGCAAGGATTTTAGCACCCTTGGTTGTACAATGCATCATGAGATCCACAAGTACTCTGCTGAGACTTCTGAATTACTTACAAAAACAGTTTTCCATTTGTCTCTCTCAAAGATTCAATTGCACAGAATTAGGTTGTTTGTCTTACTAATAGATCCCAATGTAGAAAGAAAAAAGCCTAGAATAATCTGCAGAGCATCAGTAAAAGTAACTGACATACACAACTGGAACACCAACACAGAACTAACAACACTTTATTCAGTATTATGGTGCATTCTGCTGGCAAAACATCACTTCATTTGAACACTCAATAGAGGGGAAAAAGCCTGTGTCTTACTTGTTTGTCGAGGAATTCTCTGGCATCCTTCTCAATGTGTCCCTCATACAGATTGGTAGTCAAACTCATTAGCCCCACCTTTGACAAGCCAAAGTCTGTAAGCTTTATATGCCCCATAGATGTTACCAATAAACTGAAAATGAGAATAAACTGAAGTTATTTCGACATAATTCAACATTATGTGGTTATCATTATTATTACCCTTATACTTGGAGGAAAATCTTTCATTAGCAGTGCAAAATATAAAGACAACTTAAAAATTAATTTAACCAGGTACAAAATAAATAGATTAAAAATCTGACAATCATACATTTGTTACTATTACTATCAAAGGTAAACAAACTTTTTATATGCAATTGCACAACATCTTATAGAAGTATACAAGTGTTCAGAGCTGAGTGCTAGATGCTTTGAAGAAAAAGAAACATTCATCATCTGAAAGACCCAGAATAGAATAAATGTCACTTCTGAAGTGAGGCAAGTATATTCTAACAAGCTTTCATTTGAAATAAACCCAGGTATTAAGTTAGCTAGTACCTAATACTAGAGTGGCCTGAGGCATGCTATGAAGGTATTGTCACTCAAGGGACATGCCTCCAATTTTTTTTTCTTATTTCTAATGTGAAACAAGAAGATTAATGGCACTGCAACAGCAATACTTTTTACTGCAGCTACTTGATGTAAATGTTATTTACGTGTACAGAAGCAATATTGTATTTCTAAATATTGGAAAGAAAAAAAAAACAACCCAACCAAAAAAAACCCCACAACTCATGCAACAGGAAAGTTTTCCTAAACTGGTCAATCTTGTCTTCATATATGCAAGTATCTGTACATTGATACTTTGTATTAAGCAGTATTTTAAGCATACTTTGAAAGATTTTTTTCCTTAATGACTAAAATGCATTTCCCTCCATATCAACCAGAAGAGCCCTTTTTTTTTTTTTTTTAGCTACTCTGATAGCCTCTTCCATCCTAAAGACAGAAAATTTAAAATAGCTTTTTGGAAAAAGCTCATTTTCTGTAACTATAAGTAACAAAAATTCAAATATTGTGCAGAAATTGTGAATCTACGTAATATTCACAATAAAAAAAAAAATTAAAAAACATTCAACCCAAGTTTACACCTTTCTTATTTTACATAACAATTTCATAGTCCTCTTTTGGTTACACTCTAAATACTTACTTGTCTGGTTTCAAATCCCTGTGTACAATTCCGTAATTATGAAGGTATTCCAAGGCCAGAACAGTCTCTGCAAAGTACATCCTTGCCATGTCTACTGGTAAGGGACCCATGTTCTTCAGCAAAGTAGCACAGTCGCCACCTGCAGAAACAGGACAATATTCCAGATGAAGCTATAAATTCTGAGGTGTGTCTGTACAATCTATATGTGCTGCAGAAATAGACACAAACTGTAGTCTTCTTTATTTTTAAGTTGATTCAGTTGAGCATGTAACAACAACAACTACTGTACTAGAATCACAGTGTGAACCTGGGAGTGAGCACTACAACAGTTCAGCTGGGTACTTCGTCTTGCACTGCCTCTGTCATAGAATCAGAGAATCATTTACTTTGGAAAAGACCTTTAAGATGATCAAATCCAACCACGTGCCTAACTCTATCAAGACTACTGCTAGACCATGTCCCTAAGCATCACATTTCTAACTTCTAACACATCCAGGGACGGCGATTCAATCAGTTCCCTGGACAGCCTGTTCCAGTGAATGATAACCCTTCCAGTGAAGAAGTTTTTCTAATATTCAGCCTAACTCCACCCTGACACAACTTGAACTCATTTCCTCTTGTCCCATCACTTGTGAACGTGGGAGAAGAGACTGGCACCCACCTCTCTACAACCTCCTTTCAAGTCTGCTGTTCTCCCTTAGCATCAGCAGCTTTTCAAATTGCTTCCTCTTCTCTTTCTTCATAAAAATAGCTATTACAAATACCCAAACATGAGCTAATGAATATCTGAACTCCAGAAAAGCTAAAAGCATTTCCACATGAACTCTGAATACTAAGACATGTTTAGAGTCTATGAGGAACTTACTCAAAGAACAGTTATTTTCTATTATAGCTGGAGCACAAGTGTTTTACAAGCTCTCACTGGGAGATAATGACTAGGAAAAAAGCCACCTTGCTGCTGGATTTAGATCCTAAATCTGTATAAAGGACACACAGGGGGCCTTTCTAATGGAAGTACCATATGGATTGTTTTTCTTTCTTGGTGTAAGAAAACTCTCTTCTTCCTCTGTATAACAGAAGAAACATTTTACCTTCTACATATTCCATGACCATGCATAAATGACGTCTTGTCTCAAAGGAGCAATACATGCTGACAACAAACGGATTTTCTGCAAATGTCAGGATATCACGCTCGACAAAGGCCTGTTGGATCTGGTTTCGGAGGATGAGGTTCTGCTTATTTATTTTCTTCATGGCAAATCTTTGTCTAGTTTCTTTGTGCCTCACAAAATAAACCGCACTGAAAAAGTTCAAATGGGAGAGAAATAGAAAGAAGTCTGAACAACAACTAAAAATATTTTTTAAATATTTTTTTAACAAATAAAGATTTTTTTTTAAAAAACTGGCCCTGCTGTTCACATTAGAGAATGGCTACAAACCTCAGTTTGTTTCAGAAATAGGATAAGTCTCAGTCAACAGAAATTAGTACACAAACAACTCCCCTGCTCCCTAAAGCAAACAAGAGATAGAGCAAGTGCTCTTCAATAGACAGTACAAATGCACTCAGCTCAGGTAGATTTTGGGCATTTTGGGCAATTCATCAACCAAGGATTACATACAAAACCCAGCTATGGCACAGTGTTACAAATCATTCTGACAAATGCCTATTCTCTAAGGGTGCTGTCAGATAATTATGACTCAACTCCATCCAGGGGATTTTAAAACATGTCACAGGTTTCCCACGAAGGTTGCTCAGAAGTTGCTTGATGAGGTGGCTCCCTTATTGCCAGATGCAAAATCTTCTGTTCTTGTTCAGTCCCTGACATCAGTGTTGATCTATATCAGGGGTAGGTCACCAGTAAACTAGAAGAGTACTGCAATAACTGCATGGTAATGAGGGAATAAAAAGATATCTTGACATGCAGAATTTCCACTGGGGTACCAGGTATGAAGCCTCCTATAAGCTTGCTTAGATAAGGTCAAGGCTGTGAGGGAAGCAAAATGAAGGAAAAGCTCGCGTGGACTGGCCTTCTGTCTTTCAAGGCTCAGAAGGAATCACTCTACCGTTAAACAGCGGCACAAGAGGTTACTGCTGCATTTCTCAAAATCCCCTGAGGGAAATCCTGAAAAATGTTTGCCTTGCTTGAAATCTATTTTGCAACATTTAATGCTTACAGCATTGCCAGTGTATAATTATCACAGTAGTGAGTGTTTATTGAAAGAAAGGACTAAAAGGACAAAACAGAGGAGTCAAAAAAAAAGGGACTCAATTACATAGTTTATAAAGACAATTTATTGTATCTGATAATTTGACCTCATGGGGACAATTATTTATTTAAACACGAAAAGCAATTCTTGCCTTATTAGAATCTGTCAAGATCCTCCCATAGCTATCCAAGTTTAAGATGCTGAAAAAACTCAACATGATACCGCTCTCCTTCTTGGCGAAAAGCTTTTGCTAGACAAGAAAAAGCTTCTCTTACTGATTCCAAAATCCTTAACGAATTCCTTTTTCTTGTTTGAGTGTGGGGCAGGTAATAGACATTGCACCATTATGGAAGTTGGGAAAAACCACCTTGGGCAAAATCCAAGACAAACCCCACCCATCGTGTCTCCTAACAAGTCTCACTCCCTTTTGCTCCTCCCAAGCTGGAATAAAGACCAAGTTACTCAGCTCCAGTACTACTCCTTGCTGACTTCATGCCTTTTGTCCTCCTGCACCTCTTCTTACTGCTCCCCTCATACGTACTTCTCTTTCC